GTACCTATAAACGTTTGTTATAAAAATACGATTGAATTTTCGCTTAATTGGAAGAGATATTAAAAAAATATATAAATAAATGATAAATTTGTATAAATATTACTCAATTGACAGGTTAAGATCTACGAGAATTTGAGGTTATAGGTGTAGTCAACAACAAACAGTGAACTTCCAAATTAATCCAAGCAAATAAACTATTTCTATCATTACACACTACTTACGTGTGTTTTAGTATAATAATTCTTCATCAATTTAACAAAATAACTGGTATTTCACTTTAATATTTTCATACACACGTTGGTATTCAATACATTCGACTTAAAAGACACGAATTTCAAAATATTTTTTGTATTATTAGAAAATAGTGAAGTTATATATCATGAAAATAAAAAAAAAATGGAGATTATCCACAATTAAGCATTCCAACAACCTGTCAATAGGTGCCAGTGGGACATTCTTGTATATTTAAGGGGGTAGCGACATAATCTTGCAACTTGGACGCTATTGTTATTCGAAGTAATAGTCGCCAAGCCTGCCAATTTATAAAGAAATGTATAGGTGGGTTTTTTAAATATTATTTTTATTGTGTTTGACATAAAATATTTAAATGTTATCCATTATTCATGATTTTACGTAAAGTAGATAGAATACACCGTATGTCGCCACCCTTAGATATACCAAACCTTCCCACTGGCAATTCATTTGTTTGGAATGCCTAATTAAGCGAGAAATTTAATGCTAAAATATCAAAAATTGCATATCAAATCTCTTGACATATGTGTACAAGGTTGCCAAGTATTTTAATATGTAAGAGGAACTAACTTGTAAACTCGTAAAATATTATATTTTTATGATTTGTTTATTTAAATAAAAATAATAGAATTTAGTGATAAAATGCCAGAATCTGTATTAGACATTTTCATTGATCAGTTTCCAGCTTATAATATCCCGATTGTATCTATATTGCTGCACCACTCTTTCTCTAGTTTCTCCCAACATTTCTGCTGTAGAAACTACCCTTAGTTGGCATGCCCAGCACCAAAACAATAAAATTGTATCCCTCACCGAAATTTTTATCTTCTCAAAAAATGAATAAATTTTTAAATAATGAATAGTCAGTTCTACATATTGGGCAATAAAAACTATTTAAATTGTCTGCTACTTTTTTTTGTCTGGTCTTACAAAGCCGTCTGCAAGATCTTCTCTTGCAATGAAAATTTGACTTTATTAAATTAATATTTTGCAAGTATTTCACCAAATCAGCATCATTCTTGTTAATAATTTGATTAATACCATTAATACTATTCACTTCCATAATTTTGATTATTAAAAAACACAATAATTCAAGACAAAATTGTGAATGACATTGACAATTAATATTCTGAGATAAATGTTCTACAATAAAATAAATGAACATCTAAATCTAAACTGTTAATATCCAGACCACCCCAGACTACTTAGTTTTTTAAATATTGCAGGTAACGGCAGAAATAGTAACAAGTAATAAATTAATCTTGGCAACCCCGCTCATTATCCAGAAAAGAAATGTCAAATAATAAAATTTTCAAGTATTAAGTTAAATTTAATGAAAGACTCATATTAAAAAGTATTTAATTAAAATATATAATTGATTTATACTTTTTTTCGTATTTCTAAACCTAAGGTGAGTTAAAATCGTACTTAATATCATTTAAATCAAAAAACAAAATGAAATTGGTCAAACAGTATGTCCCTAATGTCAAACGTAATCCATCCACATGCTATAAAGGCGGCATATTTGAAAAGATCAATTGTTCTTAATAAAAATTTTTATTTTTTTCTTCTCTATTCATAATTATTAAGTAAATAAACTTATTGTGTTTTATATGAAATTCTTTTATGTCTGTTTGATTATCTGGTATTATTTGAATCTTGAACCATCAATTACAAGGGTAAATAACAAGTATAGCAGGGGTAGAAGTTAGAAAGGTTTTTGCCAGTTCTCCCACCAATATTGTCTTTTATCTTTTCAGGATCTTCTAGAATGTTAAAGGAAATAACTAAAAAGTTATTATGTGATATGATGCAAGAATGTACAAGTAAAAAGATAGATGAAAATATTTTATTTTTGGAGAAAAAGCTTATAGAGCTGACCAAATGGATAGTAAACTTGGCATATTGAAGCATACTTTAAGTTATTTCAATTCTGACTCTAAGCAAAAATGGCAATTGGCAAATTATAAGCAAGAACAGTTTTTGAGAAAAAACGGACAATGGCTTAACAATTCAATTAATTTGTCATTTGGACTACAGAAAAATCTGAAGTAAGCGAAGAAAAAAAAGGTTTGAGAGACCGTGTATCTGCGGAACAGTTAGCATATGCTGACAAATGTGCCAACGTGCTGAAGGAAATAAAGACGAGTCAAAAATCATAAAAGAAATAGTTCTAACACCTACAAGAGCTATAAAAGTCCGAAAAGCGATCCTCTTCGGTTAATTAAAATAAAATTAAAAAGCACACACCGTCTGAGGCCTTGGCTATTTTTGTGGAGGAAGATTTTACTCGGAGGCAATGGGAAATACTACACAAGGCAAATAAAAGTATTTATCCTTGCTATTCACTAATAAAGAACGCAAAAAAAGAATCTTATCCGAAGCAGCAATCAATAAGAGTAACTGAAACATGTGCTGAAATTATGTTGCAAGATTTACTCGACCATACTTCTTTAAGATTATATAAATATTTAGAAGTTAAAGAAACCTGCACAGAATAAGATAAGACCATGGAACTTCTTACAAAATGGGGCTGTGACGGATCCCAGCAATCCCAATTCAAGTAATACTTTGAAAATAATACAGATAGTGACTCAAATATTTTCCAAAGTTCCCTTGTTCCGTTACGACTGCAAATAAACACTAATGGACAAAAAAAGACTATATGGCAGAATCCAGTGCCATCATCTCCAAGATACTGCAGACCCATAAGGATACGTTTTATTCTCTAAAGATGTAACAAAAAATGAAATTGAATATGCAGGGTGCCAGGCAAGAAATTTAACAAAAACAGAAATACTGACTGCTACCAACATACTTTATATTACACATATTCTGTTACCAACAAAGGTCCCGAGAAGGAGCCTCAAATGCTCTTATTGGCCCAGAACCCTTCTGTGGGGTAACAAAAACAACTATCAGAACATGCACAAAGCAGTGGATGTTTAAAAAATCTCAGGTGTGGTGGAAAAACTCACCAGGACAGAGACAGGCTAAAAAGTTCCTAAAAGGACCATCGTCTGAACTCACCAAGCATCTACTAAGCCTTAGGAAAAATACTAGAATACTAGTAGGTCTATTAACAGGGCATTGTAGACTTAACAAGCATATGTTCAATATCGGTCTGACAGAAGAGGCCTTGTGCCGATTCTGTCAAGAAGAAGAGGAAACGGCAGAACACGTATTGTGCTACTGCGAAGGTCTAGTAAGACTGAGATTCCTTACACTTGGAGAAGAAAAACCAAGGGCAACTAGCTATACCGGAGAACTACTTCCCAGTCTATGGAGTCTACTACAAAAGACCGAATTAGACAAGGAACTCTAAACAATGATTAAAGGATATCCACAATAGATCTGAAAAGGTCGAGGTGGGGGAGGCCACATGGCCCATAGTCCTAATTAAATCTTAATCTTACCAACAATGGTGGACGCTAAGATTTGCAATGCAGCGACCAATACAACTTCTACTACGAGGTGCTATATTTGTGGGCTAACCTCGAAAGACTTTAACAGTTTGGGCAGAAGAAAGAAGTCAATCCTGAAACTTTGAGATTTGGTTTATCAATTCTTCATGCTAGAATTAGATTATTTGAATCATTACTACATATCTCTAATAAGTTAACTATTAAAAAATGGCAAGTAAGATTGCCTGAAGAAAGAGAAATAACGGAAGAAAGAAAAGCACAAATTCAAAAAGCATTTAGAGATGAAATGAGCCTTTAAGTGGACATTCAAAAGGCAGGGTTCGGGAACACTAATGACGGTCATACATCTAGAAGATTTTTTCAAGGTGATTTTATAAACGATTTTAAGTGGTCATATGATTGACGTGGAAAAGTTTGCAGGCTATGCATACGAAACTACTAAACTGTATGTACAGCTATATGGGTGGTATCCAATGACATCGACTCAACAGAAAATAATAATTCATGGTTGTCATTTCTTATTTTATATTGCCAATTGGGCAGCTCTCAGAAGAAGCTGCCAAAGCTAGAAATAAGCACTTTAGACTCTATAGACAAAACTTTTCTCGTAAATTTTCACGAGTAATGTGCAATAGAGACATATTAAACAGGCTATTATTAATTTCTGACCCATTATTAAGCAGCGGTAGACCACCAGCCACGTATGAGCAAGCCATTTTCTTCTGAAACAATAAGTCTTCTTCTCCCTGAAACTCAATGTGTCGGAACCCAAAGCAGCGATCAAGAAGAGGAAGATGAAAACGACGAATCAGATTTTGATTAAAAATTTATTATAATAATCTTGTTTTACTTTATTTTATTAAATTACATATTTGAATAATACCTTAAATTGTATATTTATGCATCTCCACATGATAAATTACATTAAATAATTTTGGCCAGGTTTTTGATTCAACTACTCCTCTGTGCGACGGCTAGAAATCGAACAATTGATGCATTGGTCGGGTTGGAAATTCAAGAGATCTTTTTTTTTTTATTTCAAATAAATTTTTATAAAATTAATTTTTTTTGTAACAATAAATTAATTCACCGGCGCTCAACGACATTACAAAATTTTTCAAAATATTCGAATAAATTCTATAAATAATAATAAATTAATAATCACAAGGAAACAAAAATTAAAATCACCATAAATAAAATAACAAAAATTATACACCACCGTGTGGCGTACACAAAATACACAACGATAAAATTATAATTACCCAAATTATGTAACAATATATATTGTACATCCCTAATTGAGATGTTAAGCAAATTCAAGGGGTAGAAATTAAGTGAATAAAAATAAAAAAATAAAAATATATATTTCTTACTAGTATAAATAAATAATTACACCGAAAATTACATAAAACAATAACTATTGTTATCTGATAGAAGGATTCTGCATATTCTGTACACTGGTTGTATTTTGCACATTTTGAACATTCTGCGCACTCTGCGTACTCTGTAGATTCTGCGCACTCTGTACATTGTTCACGTAATTTTCTTCCGCAACTGAAAACAAATCAGCTGCCATCGAATTTCCGGTTTCTTGTACTAAGTTATAAAAAAAACCCTTCTTTTTTAATAGAAGATTGTAAGGATGATCAAATTCGACTGCTCGTCCACCGTCGATGACCAATATTTTATCAGAATCCATGATAGTCGGAAGTCTGTGAGCAATGGTGAATACTGTGCAATCGAAAAACTTTTCCCTAATAGTATTCTGGATTATATCGTCCGTCGTTGGGTCAACACTTGCAGTAGCCTCATCCAAAACTATAATAAACATAAAAAATGATGTTAGTTTAGCTAGGGTATTAACAAAATGTTTAACATTTATAAATCTAGTACAGATAATATCAAAGCCATCTGGGGTTACCAATGGGTGGATTGAGTAGAACTTGAATGATCTGGTAAAGGAGTAGAATTAACTACAGGTCCTAAGTAAAAACATTAAGGTCTTGAAAAACCAAACAGAAGCATTTATTTGCTAAGCTGATAGTGCTGCAATAATCTCAAAAACAAGGATCTGTAAAGACATCTCTTTCAGGTTCCACCAAATGACATGACTAGAAGACGTGTATGATACTAGGAACTTCAAATAGTGGTGAAATAAGCTTTGCTTGCATACTTTCTATCAGAACGAAAAACATCATAACAATTTAAATTTAGCAGCTCACCATTATGGAAGTCATCATTAAGCCACGTTTCAGTAAATGCATAAATATGAAATGGACATGTCACTGATTTATTAAAGTGTACTTCATTTAACTTTGTCCGAATTCCCCTTAAATTCTGATAGTAACAAAGTAACGTATTGGCGTCAGGTATGTTTTTAATTAGAACATCATCAGTGTTTCTGATTATTGGTATTTGCTATGGTGGAGAAAGCAAGTTTATAAACAGGACAGTCTTTATCTCAAGCAGCATGAATGGCAGAAACATGACGCTCGGCACGTTTATTATAATTATGACAGTTGATACAATATCTATCTGAAGTGGTACAATCTTCTAATTTGTGGATTTATGCGCATAACGGACAAATATGATTCACCGAGGAACAGTTTCTTGACATACGGTGAAAACTACAACATTTGAAACAACGCCGTAAAACAAGGGCATCAAAAACACTGCAATAATCATAACCTACGTACAGCTTACCTCGAGACTTAACTTTTTTGTATGTGTTACGATCCAATTGAATCACAGCTTGAAACAGGGGGTTACTTTTCTTTAGAGGGACAATGAACACTAGTTTTATGTTGCTTTTCATTTTTAGTCTTCAATAAATGCAAAAGATCTTCTTCACTTAGACATTCCGCCATCCCAACTATTTTAATCCGTGGATTCTTTAATTGTGTAACTCGTAGCAAGCTTTTAGTTAGCCAATTCTTTAAATTTGTCCATTTCCTCTGAGTTTTCACAACTAATAACGGAACCACCATTTCGTACATTCCTAACTTTGGTTATAGCCACATTAGAATGAATAGGATTGATGTTTTTTAGCATATCAGTCTTGGTCACCGATAAGTCTTGTTTTGATTTGGGCTTTATAACGACTCAAGATTGTTTTTGCGCATTTTGAACGGCATTTGAGTAGTTTGGCGTATTGAAAGAGCTGGGATTCATAGTTATAAGGTCTGTTTTAAATGAATTTATCGATGCATCAATTTCAGCTGTTTTGCTTCTTACTACATCTTCAACAATCTTCTTAAAGTTTTCAATATCTTAAGCATTTTGTTCTACACGAATCACTCATAAAATAGACGTTTTTATTTTTTGTAAATTCAATGTTTGTAAATCCGACACAGTAGTGGAACTACCTATTACAAACACCGTCACAACCAATGAGACCTTCATTTTTCTTTATTTTGTATTTACTGCAAGGTTCCCCGTTGGAGCTCAATTTTAACGCTTCCTATGAATAATAGCATCGGGTACTTTTCTACTAATAAGGAAATATTCTAGAAGAATTTATCTTCAAAGGCAGAAGGCAAAAAAGAAATATTAGTTTAGATTATCATACATTTGCACAGACTAATAATAATATCACAAAAAAATTAAAACAAAATCACAATTCTCATTAAAGATAGCGGAGAACTTTTAAACGCGTCTTTACACCAGATGTTGTAATAAACTATATAAAGAACTATACTAGGATAGATTAAGAAATATAATGTCTATAAATACGTAATATAGAGTGATCAAGTAGTACGAGTCGAGACAGATGCAACATCTATGAATTATTAGTAAGCATTACTTGATAATTAAAAAACTTTCTCTTGGAAACGTTAGCAACCACTCTATACTAATAGAATGGCTGCCAAACTAAGTGACAGTCATTAAGTCTAGAAAGCTTAATAATATGCAATTATTTTCACTATCTAGAAATATTGGAAGAGCTCGCTGGACAAGAGAAGTCCAAAACAAAAATAGATGAAGTTAAATATAGGAAGCATATTGTACCGCTTTCAAAAGTCTAAACATTTAGTCGGGCTGGTTTAAAGTGCACATAGTGCAAAGTTTTAAGTGAGAAAAACGATTCCGACGGACGATTGGGAATCAGCTGACAGAAATGTGGGAACAACAGCTTACTGACGGTGGCTGAGAAGCGCTTGCTATTACGTTATTTGTCTAGGTTTTGTTTTCATGTATTAAAATTTTTTTAAACTGGTTGTTAACTGCAAATAATTGTTTTGTGTTGAACAAAAATTGTTGGTGTTGTTGTTTGTGCCTCAGTTCGATGAAGATTCTGTCTAGAACTCACGACAGGTATTTACGAGTGGTAAGGTGTCCATGTATAGTTTTATTATTTAGATGGCGACAAAAACCAAGATGAATCTCCCACCAATTCAGGTACAGGTATATCAATATGGAAAGACAATAAATTTTCGACATACCCATTAATCTATTTCTATTAAAGTAAGAGGAAATACCCAAGATAATTACTAACCTAATATCTTGTTGTTTCTAATTATAGCTCTGGCTAAACACAGAAGTTGTCTTTGTCCTAGACTAAAATTAGAACCACCTTCTATCATCGTGCTATCTAGTCCATCAGGAAGTTCATCAACAGCATTCTTAAGTTCAACAATCTCCAATACATTCCACAATATCTAAAAATTAATTTAAAAATAGAGTTAACTTAATAATACCAGAGTTATTGGTTTTTTAACCTCATCATCAAATTCATCAAATGGATCCAAGTTTTTCCTTAAAGTACCAGAAAATAATACTGGCTCTTGTGGTATTATTGAAATCTTAGATCGTAGATATTTTAGTTTAATTGTTTTGCTGTCCAATTCATCAATGTATATAACTCCCTCAAAATCCATTAACCGAAATAGTGCTTGGATTATTGAAGACTTTCCAGCGCCCGTTCTTCCTACTATACCCACTTTTTCCCCAGATTGTACTTCAAAATTCAAATTATTTAGTACGTACGAACTGTCTCGGGTATATTTAAGAGATACATTTTTAAAAACAACGTTTCCCGATTGAGGCCAACTTTTGACAGGTTTAATCCTGTGTTCATCAATTTCTGTCGACAACTCCGTGTACTCTTGAACCCTCTCTACAGATGTCATCTGATTTTCTAGCTCAGACCATTGTCTGATGCCCCATTGGAACATTCCAGCCAGAGTCACAGCTTGGGTTAAGGACAGACCAACGTTACCTCCAAAGGATTCTAAAAAATAAAGGTGGAATAAATGAAGAATATCATTAGTAATTGTTAAATCGCACCACAATAGCTTTTTTCCTATGGTGATGTTCTTCATAAAGTTCGAAGTGTCTTTTAATGTTGGAAAAAAAAATTTATTTATAAAAATTTGGTTCAGATGTAGGAAAATCAGTAACACATTTTTATAGAAAAGCAAAGTTTTATATCAAGAAGAAGATTTTTTTACATTTTATTGGTTTTTAATTATTTAATACAACCCAAAACTATTTCACATTGGTTAATATTCTACATTGGTGCTAGATTCCACAGTGGAAGACTTTCACGCGTACTATCACACCGCACATACTTTTAAATACTGCAAATTTTTAGTTAGAGTGGAAAAAGAAAATAATGTCTATAGGATATAATGCTTCCAGAAATTGAAAAAAGGTGGAGAAGGAATGAAATGCAACTTGTGTTGAGACTAACCTAGCAACAGAACTAGTTTAGCTAGTACGAGAGCTAATATCTCAAAAGTACAAAGTCTAGCCTGTGTTTGCATTACTTGTGCAATTAGAACCTGTCCTACGGCCGCAATGGAGGTGATCTTAAACCTCACCCCTCTACATTTGATAATAGAGAATGTGGCAAAAAGGACACGATATAGAATGATCAGGATCGGAGTAATCAGACGAAAGTCTACTTGCTTCAGGACTAAAGATACCTAGGACATGCCCCATAATGAAATGCTAAAGAAGTACAGTTTTGTGAAAAACTTCAAACCCACAAAGCTGGGCTGCGAGAAAGAATGGCGCCAAGAATCCATCGCGTTTGCAACCAAAAGACATATTATTCAGTGGTATACGGACAGTTCCAAAACCATAGAAGGAACTGGAATAGGAGTGTATGGGCCAAGAACCAAGCACTCCAAAAGCTTGGGAAAATACCCAAGCTTCCCAAGCAGAAGTGTATCCAGTTTAACATTGAAAGAAACTATCATAGACAAGAGATTATCATCATGTCCGATAGTCAAGCAGCCATGAAGGCGCTGAGCTCTTACGTAATCTGCACAAAAATGGTCTACAGATGCCTAGAACAATTAGGCGAGAAAAATAGTTACTCTCACTTGGGTCCCGGGACATAACCGGGTACAAGGTAACGATATTGCAGATAGTCTTACAAGGAAAGGGGCTCAAACACCCTTTGTAGGACCTGAGCCGTTCTGCGGTATCAGCAGTAACATAATATTAGGAGAGATTAAAAAAGAATTGGGCAGTAGAAGAACCGATAATTGGAACAATCTCTTGGAGCTGAGACAGGCTAAGATACTTCTGAGTAAATACAACCAGAAAAGATCGGAAGCCTGCATCTGCCTGAGCAAGAACAGGCTGCGTATTGTAACAGGATCCTTACCGGGCATTGCCGACTAAAAGGACACCTTAGTAAACTGAGAGTAATAGAGGATAGTGAGTGTAGATTCTGTGAGGAGGAAGACCAAACCTCCATTCACATTCTGAATGTGTAGCACTCCAGAATCCAAGGGCACTATATCTAGGAGGATATCAAATAGAAGAGGGAAATTTACCTAACTTGAAGTCACTCCAAATCCTACACTTCCTTGAGAAAATAGGATTGGAAGGGTCGTTAGAGGCATTGAGACATTTCCTTGGTGCATTAGCGACAAAAGGGGGCACAATAGATCTTTTAGGTCGCAATGTATTAACACCTCATTCCTAACATAACATAACCTAGTAAGTTTTTAAAATATTGGAATTTTTATGTACTTGGAAGACCATTCTTTCAATGACATACACTTACTTACACTAATAGAGTTTTCAAAGTAATTATTAAAAAAATACAAGTTAAAACTGTTAAAAATTACCCGTACTGTCTCAAATACTAGAACAAAGAGGTAAGAAATTAATATACAAAACTCAAATATTTAAAAATCTAGTAGAGAAAGATAGACTTACCTTCTTGAATAAATAACAAACTGATAATAACTAAGGCAATGTAAAATATACAGTGCATGTCAAGCCAAAAACCAAATCCTCGACTGGCTGTCATAAATAGATACGAGGCAGCTGTATAATTGTCTTGTAAAGCGTCAAATTCTTTGCAAAGAATTTCTTCTGCTCCAAAAGCTCGAATTGTAGTGATACCTTGTAGGGACGCTGTTAAGTGTGTAAATATTGGACTCCTGGCTAATAAAGAAAATAAATATTTTCAAAATCAAGTCAAAAATATACGCTGCCCTTATGGCACGTTTAGCTCTGTAATTTTAGAATTTTAATGGATTCTTTTTTAACTCCCCTGGACTTCTTTTCACGCTAAAAATATACAGGGTATCCCCGCTTGGACTGAAAAATAGGAGAAAAAACAATTTTCACTTTTTAAAAAAAATGTTTTTCTTCCTAAAAGTTGTTGTTTGTTTTAAAACTAACAATAATCCAAACATAAGTTGAATATATCTTTGTTTTTGTGGAATAATGACAAAAATAAATCAATAACGATTTTTTGTCATTATTTTACTAAAGCAAAGAGATATTTAGTTTCTGTTTGAATTATTATTATTATTTTTAAAATAGGCAAAAAAATTTATGAGGAATAACATTTTCTCTAAAAGTTAAAATTAAAAAAGTTTTTGCTCTTTATCAGTCCATCCGGGGACACCCTGTATATCACCAAGATATATTAAGATTTTTCATCCAGTGAAGTGGTGGGGGATGGAGATGTCACACAGTAGTGTGTGAAGAGTATTATAAGTTTACTTTCAAGAAACCAAAATTTTTAATATTCATCCAAATTTAAAATTTTTGGAACCAAAATCCTTCATCAAATTTTAAGTCAAAAACGAAAAATGATATAAACTTAAAATTTTTAGGAAAACTCAATCACTATAAGGGTACGAAGTCTATTGATTTAAAAAAAATCTGATTAAAAATGGAGGGGTTAAGGGGGATTGCAATTTGAAAAAAGTCATGAGACAAAAACGAAAAACAAAAATAAGGAGTTAAAAAAGTTAAAATTAAAAAAAAATCATAAATCAAATACTTGAAATTTTCAGGAAAAATCAAGCTCTGCAATGGGACGAAGCCTATTGATTTTTTAAAGGAAATCTGATTTAAAATGGAGGATTAATGGGGGTTAAAATTAAAAAAAGAAATTATAAATCAAAGACAGAAAATAATATCAACATAAAATTTTAAGGAAACAATTCAGACTCTGCAATGGGACGAAGTTTATTGATTTTTAAAAATATCTGCTCAAAAATAGGGGGGGTAGGAGGGTTGAAATTAAAAAAAATCATAAAATGACAACGAAAAGCAATATTAACATGACATTTTTATTAAATATCAAGCTCCCCTTATAGAGCTTATTAATTTTGAAAACTCTTATTAAAAATGGAGTGGTTAAGGGGGATCAAAATATAAATCCTAACTCAGAAACAAAAAACGATATCAACTTGAATTCTTTCGAAAAAATAAAGCTTTTATAGGGGGGATGAAGCCTATTGATTCTAATTAAAATATGATTAAAAATAAAGGGTTAAAAGGGGGTTTGTTAGACTGAGAAGAGTATCATATACAATGCCAAACATTATATTTATTCTAGTTAAATATGTGAATCGACTTTTGATTAAAAAATTAATTGATTTGAATATTTGCAAATCTTGATATCATTTCTAGTAACGTACACCTTAAAATTAGCCATAGATGGCCATCCAAATAATCATTAAAATACAAATCTTTGATGTTTCTTTTAAAGAAATACAAGTTTGTAAAATATTGTTGATAACTTATGAACCACAAAAAATAATTCAACTTGTTTACATAAAAAGGTACTAATATATGGTAAATATCAAGGAATTTTTTAGATTCTCTTATAAACACTACGTTTAGATCATTTTTTACCATTAAACACTAATTTCAGGTTCGCAAACGTATGTGTCTATAATAAACACAAATTGCTAAGTAACACCTGCTTAGAAAATCATTCACTTGGTATTCACATAGTTTGAAATAACGAAATTGCATAGTAGCATGGTATGGCTGCCTCAAGTTTTTTATATGGTAGGTAGTTTTGAGAAGAACTTGTTGCTTTTGATAATAAGCGGTCAGCGAATCGGTTTGTGTTTGACGACTAATGGGCTTTTGAGATCTGCAATTTGATGCATTCTGTTGCGTGAAAGTACAACGTCAGTTCTTTATGCATTTTATCCCTCCTCTGGTTTCCAAGCGCTTGAATATGGGTGTTTTGCGCAGTAAGATTTAATTACGTCAGAAATTGTAACTGCATTTAAAATTAAAACTTTTTGACTTGCGAAAGAGATGGATAGAGTGCGACAGGATGTAATTGACATGATTATGTTGAACTTGTTCTAGAAGCTCCTAATTAATTTAAAGAGGCGGGGATGATGCACTATTTTTTTGTATTTGAAATAATAATTAAATTATTGTTAGTGATTGAATGGAATAATTATTATTGAACAATTAGCTGTTTAATTACTAACTGATTGATCGGTTTGGCACTGCCGGATGGGCTCGCCTGATGTAATAATTGAAATATGTTGGATGTATTTTCAACACCAACCACAGAGCAGTAAACGATACAGATCTTACCGAAAACATTTTTAATTAGATAATCTTCAGTAATAAAATATTTCTATACAAAAAAGAAAATCTCAAAGCTATTTGAGGCAAAATAATATGAGGAAAACAACTTCTTTGGCTTTTACTACAAAATTTTGTGACAACTGGCTTTGAGATTTGATTTATTATACATCTTGCTCACATCTCTGTTTCGAAATTATTTTCCAATTCAAAATTGCCCACTTGGTTTTTGAATTGGATGCTACAAGCGAGCTTTGATTTTGCTAACTAAGTATAGATGGCGCTCCTTCATGACTTCTTAATTTGACTCAACCAAAACCAAGGTAAACAAGTAAATTTGCTCATCTGCAGCTTAGAGATTGAAAGCGAGAATATCTATTATTTGCTGACGTGATGACGAGAACTAATAAGGACGAAACCGGTCCAATACAAGTGCCACTAGCCAGCTTAACAGTTGTTTTCCGGAGGAGACATAGTCACTCACATTATTTTGTAACCTATTTCTTTAGGATTTCCTTGTTTTTCATATGTATTTTTACTATTGTGTATAATAATAATGATATTAATACTTACTGATAGCTTCGACCCGCTTTATATTCCTGCTAGATTTCAGAAAAGCTTTTTTAATATTGTACATTATTGTAAATATTACAAAAGTTGGAATCATAATCCAGGGATTTACTAACGCGATAACTATCGTAATACCCAAAACCGTCAGACCAATCTGAAAATAAGGAGAGTATCAGATAATAAAAGGAAATCATATTTACACCTAAAAGGAGTGAAAATGGGAATGTTCCAGTTCGGAAGTGGAAAAGTTTTCACATCCTACTGCAACAATTTCGCGAAACCACAAAAATTAAATTACTCTAAAAGCAGATACTGTTTCAGAACGGGATTTTACGTTTTAAGATGAAAACAGTAAGATGTTACATGTACACTAAGAAAAAAATCGTGTTTTAGCACAGCTGGGAGTATCTTAGAAAAAGATACTTTTCAGTTTCTAAGATAGATAAGTATCTTGTATCTTGTACCTAGATACTTTTTCATGTGATGCAAAAGTATCTATTTTTAAGTATATAAGATATTTCGTAAGTATCTAAGATACTTTTTGAAAGTAGTTAAGATACTTTGTGAAATAGATGTTTTTACGTTGCGCGGAGGTCGCGAAGCCTAGCCACATGTTCAAACCTGTCGATTATGCGCTGGCTGATCGGTGAGTTGCATTGCAGAGGATTTCATTCTGTCAGTGTACTTGGAGGAGAACAAATCTCTTTGTGAATTAGCTAGGTACTCTGTATTTACCCAGACCTAGTTCATTTGTGGTTGTGCTGTGTTTGCTTCAAAGAACATATTATTAAGGTATATGTACTTGTGTACCTATGTATTTTATAATTATTGTTAGAAATATTGTTTTTATTTATACAGTAAGTTTTTATTTTTAATTTAAGACATAAAAGTTGTTCTTCATAAAAAGTTCTGCATGATCTGAAACCTAAAATGCAACCATCAGATATCAAATGTTTTCAGTCATATAAAAAATCTGATTTTGTTCAAAAGTACAGTACTTACCTTCATTTTTAAAAATATCAAAAAATTCTACTTGGAAATGTTGTTTAAAATTAAATTTTATACACACTTGTAAAGTTACAGCCACCTGAGTCCAGTAATATTTTTTTGTCATTTTTTAATGTTAAATAATGTGAAACTGTTTTATTATTCATTCCTGAAAAAAGTTACTGTTTATAAAAAATTCAGATTCTCTCAAAAAGAGCCAGAGTCAAAAAATGCAAAATATCGTAGGTATATTTTACAGGAACAAATATATTGATTTTAGAACAATAAAAAATTGATATCTGATTTTAGGTTTTAGTCCATGCAGAACTTTTTATGAATAATAACTTTTTTACTCAAAATTAAAAATAAAAAAGTTTTCCATACCGCCAACTTATGTAGACATAGGTACCTACTTGTGGATAGGAAAAATGTTAAATTTAGTGCAAACCTTTGACAATATATTTAGAAATATTTAAAAAAGTGTGACATACCTATGTTATGTTTTTTTATGGAAAACCCTATATTTTTCTAATCTGCAAGCTGGTTCAAAGTTATATCGTATGATGTTAGAAAATTTAAAATATTTTTTTTAGATTTTAAACCTGTAAACTGTAAAAAACCGTTGCATTACCTTTTTGAAAGTATTTTCAAAATATGACTATATCTATATTTAGCAATAAATAAAATATACTAATTTTTATTTTTTAATAATTTTCACGTTATGGATTCTAAGGGATTGTTCAATAATATTATATTTAAATTTTGGGTAATTTTTCTCATCGTGCAAAAGGGCATTGTTCAAAAAATCTGCAAAATGCGTTCTAAGTAACCCCGCTTTACGGTATACGGTGGTAGAAAAGATGCCCTACTTGTGAAATGTAATGTTTTCTGAATCATCGTTGTTTAAACAACCAAAAACAACGCAGTTCTTTCCCATTTATAGTAAAAACTACTAAAAATTGTTTTAAATTCACTAAAATAGTGAATTTTGAAAAAAACCAAGCTGAATTGACATAAATGACACTTCTGCCGAAACACTACAGCGTGAATGAGTCTTAAATTGCAAACATGGCAAACTACATGGTATGCTTTTTTTGAAACTTAGGGGAAAATGGCCTTTTCCTATATCCTCTATCCATATCTATGTTTACTTCCCCTAATTTTCAATAATATCAAATTAATTATATAATAAATGTTTATTAATAAATATCTAATTAATTAATAAGAAAAGGCGCGTAGACTGTTTCAAGCTTTACACTAATTGGATATTAATATTTGGTAAACTTACCGCAATAGTATCCACCATACACAATGGTACAGTTTCATCCACTGATCCAATATCTTTTGAAAATCTATTTAAAATTCTGCCCGATGGATTGGCATTGAAAAACGATATTGGCGAATGTAATACTTTCTTAAACATGCTATTATGTAGTCGAACCGAGGATCTTAAAGAATATTTGAAAAACGAAACAGCTCTGGTAATGGCGAATATTACAACTAGTATTATCAAGAAAGTGTAAGTCAGTAAACTGTATTCATGAAAAAATACTGATCTGGTTTTTGCTTGCTCTGAATTTACCCTAAAAATGATCTAAATTAGTACATAAAATAATACAATATATAAAATAGTATATTACATTACGAGTGTGGAAAGTGACATTTTTCACACGAGTGGGAAATATTGTCGCACGAGGCACAAGCCGAGTGCGACTATCGCACGAGTGTGGAAAATCACTTTTCACACAGGTGATGTACAATATTTTTCCTACGACCACAAAATAATTTCATCAAAAAAATGTAAAATCAGGTTATTTTTATAATAGTTAAAATGTATTTAAAGAAAATAATCAACAATAATCGTATTTTTTTAATTTTCATATTTTCTAAACAAAAAAAAACGAAAAAACAAAAAAAAATTCTGCCCTTGCAAGGATTTAAACGCGGTCGCTCGCCAGGTTTCAAATGGCAAAGTTGATAAAGTTTGATACTCTATCATCTGAGCTAATAGGCCTTGCGTCAATTGAATGATCTAATCGGTTATGTGTTTAACCAGAATAAAAGGCAAACATAACTTAGTTATTTTAAAATTATTTTAATAATAATTGTTAAAGATAAATGTCTAATTTACAACAATTTCAATAATTTAACAATCATATCGATTTTAGTATTAATATGGACATTACATACATCAAAATAGAAATGATGCGTTTGACTTTTTGTGACAGCTGATGCGGAAGGTAGTGTGATATGTGTCACTTTCCTAAGTGGTCGTAGGAAAATAATTATATCATCTCCTTCAGACCTAAAAAAATTGATACTAAAAACTCCAGGATAGTTTTAGGACCATCATAAAATACCATTGTAAAATATTAAATTTCTTTGAAAGGAGGTATCAGGTAGAAAAGTATCAATGTTAGGCATTCTTTGCCATTAAAATAATTGATATTAGAAGTAATTATATTTTACATTGGCCAGAGGTCTTCTTAACTGATCGAGTACAATTCTTCAAATTAAATAATTTAGTCTAAACTGCGATTACTGCAATATCATGATTTTCTCAGGTATTTTATTGTGGACTGGTTTTCATTAATAATTTTGTTATTATAATTAGCCGATGATGTCAAATTATTTGAAACTATTACCTGTCTTATGTTTCAGGATGTACCACTATCAGAAACAAACTGAAAAAATAAAGAGTAAAACTCACTCCGGTGATGGAGTTTGAGAGGTTATAATATTAGCAAAAAATGAGTTTAAATGTAACACCAAGCTTACAGGCACCCTATTAATAAATAAATTAAATAACAAGACAAAAACTCGTAAGTCCCGTTTAACAAAGCCAATTATCATGCCAACAAGTGTCACTACAGTGAAACCCGAAAATTTTCCACTGACAGCCATAAGCTGAAAACTCAAGAACTACCTTAGGTATGCTAGGAGTGAACTATTGTTTCAAACGACAATTTTACCACTACCACAACACTTTAATGTACAAACTGGAAACTCGAGAACCACCCTAGGCACTCTAGGAGAAAACTCTTGTCTTAAATGACATAAAACATTCACTATTAATATTTAAACCTAATAAGACACTGAATGATGCCTCCAAAATATACAGAGGTTATCAAAAACCAAAATCAATTGACAAAATCAGTTGCCAAAAATGTTAGGACGAAATCAGAAACACTATTAAGGAATAAAATAGCAAGTAACCTATTATGGTCTAAAAGAAATTAGGGCAGGAGTACCTCAAGGTAATGTACTAGATCTAGTACTCTATTTGCTGTATATTAGAAATATTTCTTATTATTGAGCACAATACTATCGCAACACTTGCTGATGATACTAAAATAATCATCATGTCTGTCAGTTGGAAAGGACACAAACAAGCTAAGGAAAAATAGCTAAAAGTATAAAGACCTGATTAACAATTGGACGAAAAGATGGCAAATTAAATTAAGTTAAGGCAAATCTGTCTTGGACTTCAGCAATAATCAAAATCAAAATATTACCTTTAGAACGAACAACACTAAAAATTCGTTGCGTCATTTAAGCAAAATATATTGGCATGACAGTTGATGCTAGATGCTAGCCCATATTAAAGAGAAACGTGAAAAACTTGGCATAAAATAGTAAAGTATATTTTGGTTGCTAAAAAATAAATAAAACTGTCCACACCAAACAAACTTTTACAGGCATATATTGAAACCTGTTTGGACGTATAGCATCTAGATTTGGGGATGTGCCAGTTTAACTAATATCAGACAGAAAAATCTGCCAGTAGTCACGAACAACGACTGCTTTAATATGTGAACGTTAAGCAACAATGCCTATCTAGTAAGACGAACCAAAATAACCATACCCTGATTGCTAAAAGCAGAGTATGTGTGTTTAGTTTTATACATTAACAGTAGTATAAATAATTAAGCTTTAAAGTACACTAGTAAGTAGAACCTGAACTTTTTCAACTCTAGATAAGTTAGGTTAAAATAAAATTTCTTATTGATCAGATTGTAGTAACCATAAACAGGGGTATTTATTAATAAATTGATATGAAAGAAACATTGGAATCAATATTTTACGTGTAGATTGTACTATTATTCAGAAATGCAAAATGTTACTTCTTTTAAAATAATATTCTTAAACAACTTACCAAGCCGTTAGAAAAACATCCGTGCAACTCCCAAACAACTGAGCCAGTAAAAATGCCGAAAACACTCCAACTGTTTTCGTCCAATGTCCTCCAGCAGTCATATAACTCTTGTAAACCTTTTTAGAAATAGTTCCAGTAGCTCTTTCCTCTTTTGTAATTTCGGCTACACTAGCAATCAATTCAGGTTGAGAATCTGAAGATATATTCAAAATTTTCGATCTGGTTCTAAATAAATCTCTCTTTTGTTCTTCCTCCTTTGCCGATCCTAGCAAACCGATGAACGTTTTATTAGACGATTTTAAAATTTCAAAACTACTAGGAGCTCTAATAGTACCATCTTCCAGCAGGTAAATAGAATTGGCCGAGTGCAGGTAATGTATTTGGTGTGTGACCAGAACTATACATTTGCTTTTCAAGTATCCAAGAATGCAGTTATTGAATAATTGTTTACCCACTAGAACATCAACAGCTGATAAAGGATCATCTAATAAATAAATATCTGCATCTTTATACACAGCTCTAGCTAAATTAATTCTAGCTTTCTGTCCACCACTTAAAGTAGCACCTCTATCACCTACTACTGTTCGGTCGCCATAAGGCAAATTTGAAAAATCTTTATCCAGAGCGCATACTTTAATAACTTTGCGATATTTTTCTGCATCAAACACTTGCCCAAAAATTATATTTTGCCTAATACTACCACCAAAAACCCACGGTTCCTGGGATGCATAGGAAATACTACCGTTAACTTCCACTTCACCACGTAAAGGTACGACTTCCTTCAAAATTACATGAAGCAACGTTGATTTTCCTCCACCTACAGGCCCTATTAAAGCCACAAGTTGATTAGAACCAGCTTCAAAATTAACGTCTTTTAGAAGATGATCTGGAGCAGAAAGTATCCATTTTATAGCTGCGTTTCTTATAAGAATTCCCACTTCTGAATCTTCATGTTGCGCTTGAATACTTAACACGTGAGATAAGCTTTCACATAGATTCAAATGTCTATTGTCTGAATCTACTTCTTCAATTAAAAGGAATGATTGTATTCTGCTAATGGAAATTCTTGCTTCCGCAACTTGAATAACAGCTTGTGGAAATAATAAGATAACTGAATTTCTCAAAAACGAGTAAAATGATACGACAGTAAATACAAAATAAGCATTTACGTTGTATCCTGATAGAATGAAAGTGAATACGCATAAATATACAGCCAATCTACTTAAGATAGTACTAAACGATAACATGGTGGCTCGTATCATCGAAATATGTTGTATCTGTGTTATTTCTAACCTAAAAAATAAAAATATAAATTTATCAACAATTTTCAATAGATAATCTACTAACTTTCGGATTCTATCAACTAAAAGCTCAAATGGTTCTTCCCATGTATACATTTTAATAACTTGAATTCCAGCAATAATATCATTCATTAATCTTACTCGTTCGTCTGTACAAAGAGCTGTTCTCAGTCTGTAATTTGAAGTCAATTTGGCCATATACGCTACAAAATAATACAATATAAAACAACTGGAACAAAGAAAGCAGAGCTGAGTAGAAAGTAAAATAAAACTGAAGTAAAATACAAACAAATGAACAGAAGATTGTGCATATGAAAAAAATATAATATATAGCAATGTTTCAACTATAAACTAGGAAAAGTGAATTAAATAGTCGCATTTACACAGAAAAAAAATATTACATTTGATTCATTTTAAGCAGAATATTTTAAATTTTTTTTATAAATGCATTGAAGTCAACGTTTTATATTAAATAAATATGGCATAACGTAAAGAAGATCATCCATTCTCAAATCTTGTATCTACCCTAATTACGAGAATCTTTCAAGAAGTGAGAAATGTAAACGCAAGTGAGTGGACAGAAGGCGACTTCATGCTGCTGGATTACAAAATTCATTTTAATGGTAAATTTGATTCATTTGAAGCAAAATATTTTTAAAAATTGTTATGAATGCATTGAAGTTAACGTTTTATATTGAATAAATATGAAGTTAACTTAAGAAGATTATCCATTCTCAAATCTTGTATCCTTTCTAATTACGAGAAACTTTGGTGTAAGTCTCTCCGTTGTCCAACGAGTATTTCAGAGGTACGAAGAGACTGGTCTGCTCACACAGGATGAACAAGGTCTACAACAGCTAGAAACGACCGCTTTATCATTTCTAGTACTTTGAGAAATCGAATGGTTACGGCAATTTCCCTTCGAAATCATCTTCAAGAAGTGAGAAATGTAAATGTGAGTGGACAATTAGAAGGCGATTTCATGCTACTGGATTACCTTTTTGAACTAGGGCTACTGGACCGCTCTTTCCCGTGAATACCGGATTGTAAGGTAGAATTATGCACGAGAACACTTGGCTTGGACAATGGAGGATTGGAGTTGCTTATTGTTTTTTGATGTATCGCGATTTTATATTACGGGCTTAGACAGACATTTAAGAGTGTGGAGGCGACAAGGCAAGAGATTTGCTCAAGTATTGTCAAAATTCCATTTGGTGAGGCTCAGTTATGCCATGGGAAGGCATATCTTTTGAAGCTTGCACGGAGTTAGTTATTATCAAGAATGGGGACTTTGACTGCGTATAGGTTCTAGAAGACTACGTTGTACCGTTCATGGTTATACTTGAAAAAGACACAATCTTTATGTATGATAATGCATGGCCCCCACACTGATAGGAGAGTTACTGCTTATCTTGACGAGGTTCAAATAACGCGATTTATTTGTCCTGCTCGAAGTCCGGATTTAAATTTAAAAAACAAGCTAAATCTCAAAAATTAACTGCCAAGATTAAAGGATTTCTTTTAGAAGTGGAAGATAAGTTATACAGCGTAGAAGATCTAATAAAATTAGAAGAAGAAGCAATATCTAGCGAAAGTGAAGGGGAAGAAGACACTAATTCCAAGCAGATAGAGACATCAGAAAAAAAAGTAGGGAATAATAACCGAAGGTGTAGTAAAATTCATTACAGTCCAAAGACTAGAAGTGCTCGATTAGCAATTAAGTAACCATTTAGTAATTACTTCATTTACCTACCTTACTTTAAATTATTCGTTTTGTACCTAATAATTAAATATTATACCCATTAATAATTTTCTTTTTACCTTGGTGGAATAACTAATTTGAATTTTAGGCTAATAGATAACTGAATATAAGTAAAATTGTTTTATTAAATGAGTGGTTTTTTGAAGGTAGCACATATTAATATTTGTTCGTTGTTACCAAAACTTGATAATGTAGCAGGCTTTATTTTTGAGAAAGACTTTGATATTTTCTGTGTGTCAGAGTCTTGGCTAAAGCCGACGATACCAAATAACGTGATAAGCTTAGCTGACTATAAATTAGTACGACAGGATCGAAATCTAAAGTGTAGAGGTGGAGGTGTATGTATTTATTTAAAAAATCATTTAAGATTCACAGTTGTCGAATCTGACAAAAAAATCGAACAACTATGGATTAAACTTAAAATAAATAAATTATTTTTAGGTATTTGTGTTGCTTATAGACCTCCTGACTATATACTTAATGATTTTATTGAAGTTTTTGAACAAACTGTAACAAATTTAGCTGCGGAATTTGATGAAATATTATGCTTGGGCGATTTCAATGTTGACCTGCTGAAAATGCACTCAACTAAAGCTAAGAAAATAAACTCCTTGTTAGAAAGTCATGATTTAATACAAATTATTGATAAACCAACTCACATAACTCCGACCTCTGAAACATTAATTGATTACTTAATAACGTCTAACCGTGACTTAATTAAATCATTTGGCGTTCTTCCCGCAGATCATATGACAAGTCATGAACTCATTTATTGCATACTTAATGTTTCTTCTAACAATTCTAAACATGTTTTTAAAATAGTAAGAAATTTTAAAAACCTTGATGAAGATTACTTTCTATGTGATTTGAATTCTATACCTTTTGACAACATTTTTAGCTTGAACAACATTGATGAGAAAATAAATCTCCTAAATAATTCAATCATTTCGCTTTTCAATAAACACGCACCCTATAAAAAGATAAGAATTACCAAAAAATATAATCCTTGGTTAACAGATAACATTAGGTATATTATGTCATTACGAGATAAAGCGAAAAAAAGATGGCAAAAAAGCAAAAAAGTGAGTCACTTAGAATACTACAAAATGTTAAAAAACTATACTACTTTAGCCTGCAAAAATGAAAAAAAAAGCATATTTTGAATACAAATTAAGAGCAGGAGGTATTAATAATATGTGGAAAAATTTAAAACATCTAAACATCGGAAAAGAGTCACATACTATACCCAATACCTTATGTAACCCCACCAATTTAAATAAATATTACACTTCATGTATTCCAAACTTACCTGCAGATCGAAAAGTCCTTGATAGTTATCTTAACAATATCCCTTCGCGTGACAAAGTTTCTTTCACTCCAGTTACAAATGATAGAGTCCAAAAACTACTGTACTCAATCAAATCAAATGCTCAAGGTTCTGATGGCTTAAATATAAAAATGTTGCTTCAATGTTATCCCTTAATAATTCCCTATGTCTCACATATAATTAATAGTTGCATTAACAAACAATACTTCCCTAGAAACTGGAAACAAGCACTTATCAGACCTGTCCCAAAAACTAGTAATCCAACCGAGTTTAAGGATCTAAGGCCCATTAGTATTCTCCCAACTCTCTCAAAGGTACTTGAAAGAATAATAGAAGAACAAATTCGTATCTACTTATCAACTCATAATATTTTACCAGAATATCAGTCAGGATTCAGACCATCTCATAACTGTGAAACTGCACTTCTTAACGTAACCGATGATATTTTAAAGGCTAGGGATGATGGTAACATTTCGATTTTAATCTTAATAGACTTTAGTAAAGCATTCGATACCCTTAATCATTCCCTGCTGTGTGCCGTACTTCATTATATAGGATTTTCGCCTGATGCCGTAGGTCTGATAAAATGTTACTTAAGTGATCGAAGCCAACGTGTTAAAATTAATGAAATTATTTCTGATTCTATGAGGGTACGATCTGGAGTTCCTCAGGGATCTATATTAGGACCTATACTATTTACTCTCTATACAAAAAATATCGGAACAGTCTTAAAATCTTGCAAGGCTCACCTATATGCCGACGATACACAAATTTATAGCTCTTTTCATCCAAACAATATTTTACATGCCACTGACCTTATCAACCAAGATCTCAAAAACTTAGCTATGTGGGCAAAAACACATGCTCTTAGCATTAATTCGAAAAAAACGAATCTTCTTGTCTTTGGCCCTAATAAATTTTGTCCTGACTCAATTAAATTAAATTTTGAGGGTGATATAATAAAACCCGTAAACAGCGCCAAAAACCTTGGTATAGTCATGGACAATCAGCTCAAATTTAGCAGTCATATTAATATATGTATTCGTAATGCCTTCATTAACTTAAAAACAATCTACATTAATCGTCATTACCTGTCATTTAATGTTAAAAAAATTCTATGTGACTCGTTGGTTCTATCAAAATTCAACTATGGAGATGTCCTTTATGGTCCCTGTATTGGGTCAGATGACAAAAGAAGAATTCAGGTCATGCAGAACTCATGTATTCGTCTAATTTGTGGAATTAGAAGACGACAACCTATATCCCATAAATTAAAAACTTTGAATTGGCTAAATATGGAAAAACGAAGGTTACTTCACGCTGCTTGTCTATTCCATAAAGTCATTAAAAACCGCTTACCTGTTTATTTATATAATAAAGTTAAATACGGTTCTGATACGCATTTCCTAAATACTCGATATAGGCACAGAATAACAGCTCCCCCTCACCGCACAGAAAAATATAAACGCTCCTTTACATACCAAATATCAAAAATATATAACGCTTTACCTAATGAATTAAAATTCAAATCTACACCCGCATTCAAAAAATCACTTAAACATACATTTTTAAACGAGTAGTAACTCATCTTTAATCATGGAAAATTCCTCTTTAAAAAGTCACTAATCGTCTATCGCGTTATTTGGTAATAGTTGGTAATAGTTGGTAATAGTTGGTAATAGTTGGTAATAGTTGGTAATAGTTGGTAATATTTGGTAATAGTTGGTAATATTTGGTAATATTCTAAAAAATAAATATTCCTTCATATTATTCTCTAATGATTCTGATATTGCTAATTGAAATTGTTTTATTTGTTTTTTTTTTTTAGTAATTAGAAATTAAGTTAATTTTAGTCATTGTTACTACTGCTTAAGATGAAAAACAGAGGCGATGATTTCATTGAAATTATCGTCACCTGATCTTCGGCATTTTTCCTTTCTTGCTTTGTTACGATTGCTTTTTTTTTCATAATGTTTGTAAATAGTTATGTAACTTGAAAGGAAAATAAAGACTTTTATTATTATTATTATTATTATTATAAATCCGATCGAACATGATCGAGATGAGATTGAAAGACGTTTACGGAGCCATGTGCTGGTTCCCGAAAATTCTAGAGAACTTCGCGACTTACTGGAGCAGGAATGGGACAATCTTTCGCGAAATGTGATCAAAAATCTGAGCATACCTCGTCGTTTGCGAGCTGTTGCTGTTACCACAGCCAGTGTAGAGAATACTCGCTACTAAATTCCTTAAAATGTCTTTTGTTTGAATTAAAAGCATAAGGTGTTGCCATTTTTGTTGAATTCAATGATGTCAATTATATTTTAAAGTGATTTAGTTCAAATTGCTGGTACTGCGAGGATTCATAAATTGACAAGGACAAATAAAATCAGAGCAGCTTGACCGGTTCGCGGACCTTTTCAAGTGGAAGAGAAAAATTTTTTTTGGTCACGGGGCTCGGTTTAGAGAATTGTCCTGAGGTCCGGCCTGGCTCTCGGCGGCCCTGATCATCCATGTTTCGCATTCATATGATTCCAGGCACCTGACAAATATTTTGAGAAATAATTTTCTCTTTTTAATGTAAATGGATTTTTATGAAATTAGCTAATACTTTTAGACAAAGATAAAAGAAATTAAAATGGAAAATTAATAATAATTACGACAAACAAAAAAAAATGTGTTATAAATCGTTTTACTTACGTTGAAATGGAACAAATGCTAGGAGAAAAATGCATCCCACAAGTCCAGCACCGCCAACATATAAGTATAATAAGATCATAATTATAATAATCTCGCAAGGTGCTAACCACAGTAGATGTATAAACTGGCAACATACATCAAATCTTCCGACGTCGTTCGATATTAAATTGACCAAATGACCTATTGTAATGCCAGCCAGTGCCGTTTTGCTCAATCTTAAGGCTTTTCTGTAAACTAAGGCGGAAGTTGCTATTCTTATCTTCATTCCAACACTTAATACCAATAGCATATTCTGGTGAATAGCTATTATTTGACAAAAAGCAGTCGTAATAAGTAGGCACGAGTAAATGTAGATTTTTGATCGATTCAAGCCCATTTCGTTAGATTGAAAGTACGATACTAAGAGCGATATGAATATTGGTTGCAAAATTCTGAAAAATAGAATAATGTATTAATTTAAATAATTTCTATCATATAGTATATGCAACAATGACAAAAAAACTGCTAGACTAATCCATTCATTTATAATTAAGCCCTTATTTATTGCTAGCATTCAGATTGTTTTGTATCAGACAAACAGAGCTGCCACATTGGCTGCCTAATGCGCTAGTTCAGTGTGATGTCATTTTGGTTCCACTGACATTTAATTCTAACCAAACTTTAAAAAAAAAACGTCAATAAATTTAACATATACGTTTTTACTGTTTTAAGTTTATTTTTAATTATTGTTTATAAGTCATAAAAAATAGTTTAAAGGTATGTAATTTGTAAGTAAACGATTGTATATTTGATGCATGTTATCTACTTACTTTAGGAATATATTTATAAAAGTGAAAGAACGATATAATTTAGGTAAACAAAACGCACTCAAAAAATCTTCTGTCACTTTAATTGTCAGTGGAACCATAATTACATCATCACTGAACTAGCGCATTAGACAGAGCAAGATGGCTGTAAATTTAAGTGGGGATAATTTGCGCGAGTTTGTTTAACTGAGGTGCGAGTCCACGTTATATAAATAAATTGTCTACATCCCTGCAAATCAACTATGAAAGTTGTAACGAGAAAAAGACATTAAACTGATAACTGACAATGTGAATATAGGGCAAAACCTTTCAATTATTGGCACTGCATCAGTTATTGGGACTTTCGTTTGATATGAACATTTACCCCGTAATAGGCTTGATATTTAAAAAAAGTAGAAAAAGTCACTAAATCAAAATAAGAAGGGTACCAATTACTGGGTTTAATATTCTTAACTTATAGTAATTGGCACGGGGAGCCACTAACTGGTATCGACTCAGTAGTTAGCATAACCCTTATTTAGGGTAAATAGTTTTTTGTATGTTTAATGCTTTAATTATACCATTTTGTTTTATATTTACTTTACACATACCAACAACTAAAAAATACAACAGCAAAAAAGGTATTCTGAAGAATATGTGTAATAAGCTTTAAGGGAAACAAAAAAATGGTGCACCAAAAAGGCAACTGCCTTAAAATATAGAATTCATCGAGGTAATCCTTAATTAAGAAAAACCGCAAAAGGATCTTGTCCAATCCTGACAAAAGAGTAGTAGTTAACTTAAAAAAGCAGAAAGTACTATTGAACTGTATTTTATTCAGAAGGTAAATGTGATGTTAATGAAATAGGCACTGGCATAATTAATATATCCTATTTTTTATTTCCATTAGCAAAAAAATTAGATGAAGATCCCAAAACCGACATAGGCACTATAGTACAAATTCAATCAAACAAGATATTAAATATTTCAGACTAAAATAAGCGAGAATTTTTGAAAATGCCCTTAAGGTAGTTCACTCGCGACAGTCGTACACAAAAATATCGCCCTATAGTGAATACCAATCGTTCGAGATTCTTAAATCTAAAGAAAAGTCATTTTTGTAACAGACTGTACACACAACACATGTGATCCTATATACAAATATGTTATTATATCGCGTAAAATCCATCCGGCAACGTCGCAAATATATTGTGAAACGTCAACCTGTATTCCTAAAGTGAAATAAATGTAAATATCAAAATGTTTCATTGTCAGGATCAATTAATTGCGAAATAAAGGAAAATTTGTTAAGCAGAACGTCCTCAACAAACGCAAAAAATCAATTTTGGCTATGAATAATGCCAAAAAATTGAGAAAGGAAACCCCAAACGTGAAAAATAACCTGTGCAGTGGTCGACGCATCGTGGAATTACAGGAGTTGGGAAAACATTTAAAATGTTGTAGGTGTGAAAGAGTTCTTTCTCTTGAAAATATTACAAATGAAACACGAAAGGACCTAAATTCAATTTTAAATGTTAAATGTAATATTGAAACTATAGTACCTACGGACAAAGTTCATGCAACAAAAAGTGAAGTTAAGCATTCAGATGTCAACACTAATGCAGTTCTAGGTTAATATAAAAAAAAATACATAAGTATTTGTTATGTTTATAATTTTTTTATTATAATTAATATATTTTTATTTATTTAAAGGTGCTGTCCATTCAGGGTTTGGTCAAACTGCTTTAAATAAATTTCTTGCTGTCATGAACATTCCTTCGATATCATCAATACTACAGAAAATCATTACTTTTATTTGTATTCTTTTATGACTTCCTCATACTTGTAAGTTAAAATTTTAAATTATTTTATAGTCATTTTTTTTTGTGTAACTGTATTTTATTTTGAAGGCATGTTTAAATAAAATTATATTCATCTTTTGCATATTTATTTAATTTTTGAAGACATGTTTAAATACAATTAAATTTAAATTGTTAAATCATATCAACCTAAAGTATAAACAACATTCCTTCCCAGAAGGCCTCGATAAAGTGATAAACTTGACCTGTCCACGGCAATAAAAAGGTTGGGAAGCACTGATCTAACAGACATTTGAATTAGCAAGCGTTGAGTGTATCGATTACAACGTTGCCAAGTTGTAATCACAATATGCCACTATGCGTCGACTGCTTTAAGAACATTTTTATTTTAAAAATCTATATTTCTTTATCAAAACGGTAAAAAAATTTGGGGTTTTTTTTAGAAAATTTTATAACTTCTTGATTTACATTTCATTAGTTTTTAAAAAATATGGTAAGAACCGTTTTCGAGATATCTTGAAATAAATGCAATGATTGTGTACATGACAGGGCTTCAAGAGTGTAAATTATGCACATTTTAATTGTTAATATCTCGTTTTACAGACGATCAAAAATTTTTATTTTTTTTAGGTACATAAAAGACACTTTCATTGACCTCATATTTCAATTTTATTGAATTCTTAAGAAAAGCCGTTTTATGAGTGAACTACCTTAAGTATGCATATATTGTTTTGATATTGTTAGGACTAAAATAAAGAAAAAAAATTGGAAAATATATTAGTCATTTAATTGTCATATTATCCTAAATAGGACTTTCTGAGATATGTTTATTTCAGAAATTATGATTAGTATGATAACTGTAGAATCTAGCCAAAACATTTTGTTAATATTAAAGTACCAAGGTACCGTATGGTTTAAACTTACTTTAAAATATCAAGGAGGGATCTTAAAATCGCCGTTCCAATCAATTCATATTTAAAAACAGAAAATATCGCTCTAAGTAAAGATGGCTTCTTTTTTCCCAATTCTTTATCCCAAGCAATTTCTAATTTTGCTCCCAAGTATTCAGAAGTGAGAGTTTTTGAGGTACTGTATAAATTATCTTCGTTTATTTCTTGCTTAAGCCCTTTAATGATAAAAGGGGGAAACCAACTGGAACGAAAACAGTAAAATTAATAATAATAAAATAAATATTTATGCATGAAATAAAAAGAAAGAAATTAGTAGTACGAATCTGTCGCAAAATAAAAAGGGTTTGAAAAAAATGGCGATCTAGTAAAACATCACCATGAGAAAAGATAATCATAATTTCATTTTTAGGAGACGTGACACAAAATAGGACTGAATAAAACATTTTGAATTAATCAACGTTTGTTGAAGATTTCTAAATTAGGTATTCATAAAATCATTCGTCCTGATTTTTCTTTACAGCACTTGGGCCTCATAAGGCCGATTGTGCATTTTCTAGTGGCATATAGAACCTGTCCCTCAACTTGTCAAATTTTGCTTATTGACGCTGAGTGGTGCCTATAGACAGACATCTTCTTAGCAGATTATCAACTATACTAGAACAAAATATTGGAGAAGGTAAGTCATATGCGTGATCAACACTGTTGTCTATGAATGAAAATTCCGACGGAAAGTAACATAGGCGGCGGATAAAATACCAAATAATTATTTATTATTTATTAGGTATTTGTTAGTAAACTTTATTAAATTTGTTTGTCAAGACCTTTATTTAAACAAAGATGATGCGTTAAATATAGAATAAAATTTTGTAAGATGATAGATACCCTAATATTTGGAGGCGATGACAAATGAATGTGTTTCAAGTAAATAAACGACAGACGGGTTACAGATTTGTATCGCTTTAACTATTTACGATAATTATTTAAACACTTTTTTGTATAAGTGTACTTTTCTGATATACGAGTAGGTGTTCATGTTTGTGCCTCCAATTTGGTAGTGGTAGTGCATATTCGAGGAGTTATATTTATTGTGTAGCATATTAGGTAGGTACTTTAAAAGTTTATTAAATCGTAAAATATTGGTGTCTTTATAAATTTAATAAAAACAATTTAATAGTAGAATTATATTGTTACAATAGTAATAGATTCATTTAATTTGCCAATAGTTTTTATACGCCACTGGCTTAATACATTTCGGCAATAAACATGCATTTGGCACGTGATACCGATAACTTCTGCAGTTTTAAGCGCGTGATTCCATTCAGTATGCTTTGGTATAGTACGATGATTGTACGTGAACAGGGATGAGTCACCTTCTCCAATATTTTGTTCGAGTATAATCAAAAATTTAAACGTCATAGATATAAATAATCTTTTTACCTGGCGGTTGAAATTAACCGAAACATTACAGAATAGACTCCATTATCAGATAGTCAGAACACCCTAATAGATCAGTTAGTTTTAAAGCGTAGTGTATTTGAATATTTACGAGTTAATTATTGTAATCATTTTCTGTAACTCACCAAAAAAATAACCTCCAAAGAAAATGTTTTTCCAAAGGGTGAGGTTCTCGTATTCGATGTTCTCTAAAAGTATCGTCCATTTTTAATTCAAATTATACGGATCTGAAAAATAAAAATAGGTTTATTTTTTAATTACTTGTTTATTGGAATGACGGATACAATGAACGCATCAAATATTTATTCAATTGATGTGGATTAGAGGTATCATGTTCGCTAGTATACATCAGGGTAAGCAATGAGATTAAAAAATATTGTTTAGGGGTTGAATGCAACGAATTTTTGATTGATAATATTGATATTGTTTTTGATGGATATTTGTTTATGAAACAAAATATATTTATCTTCTCAGCCAATGTATTTAGGTTTTATTTTGATTTTCTCGTATCTGGTACATTAAATCATTCCACGTGTTTTTCAGTATGTTGCACGTTTATAGTCTTGTACGCGGAGGTATAGTTTGCAGTTATTAACTCGAATTATTATAAACCAATATATATTTTTTCTAAGTGTTAGAAATATTTTTTTAAGGTGGGAGTTTACGTGCATTTAATTTTAGTTACGAATGAATTTAAAAACTATAAAAGATGAAGACCTAATATTTGGTAGACATTTTTTAAATAAATCAGAGCAATTGCTGACGCTAATATCAATAATGAAACTTTAAAAATAATCAAAATAAAAGTTTAGGCTGTTATAAAAAAATAAAATATTTGTTTACGGAGACAAGCAAATAGTCTATTAAAAACCAATTACAATTACGTTGAAACCAATTCTCAAATCGATGTCATAACGAAGAAAATTGAAAAATAAAATACAAGCCGAAATTTCAAATGATATGCGCGGTAGTACCTTCTTTAGCGATGATTTTAGTTCCCGCATTCGTTGATAAATCTAAAAACAAGCCAGTCGACTTGTTTCCATCGCGGGTTTCAAAACATTCTATTTGGAATATTGGTGCATTTAAAACCAAACGGAAGACGAAATCTGTACCTATTCAAGAGTACCTGTAACTAAAATAATGGCAACATTGTCAAATGACTTTGCACTCTGTATGTATTTGTGACTACATCGCAGTAAATTTATTTGGAAAAAATTTAATACTAGTACTTGAAATCAATGTACGCTACAGTGTACGCCGTGTCGAAAAGGGTTAAAGCTAAGTTTGAAGAAGACGAGACTCCAAATTAATATAAATCCATCATGTGAGATATCCCAAGATATTTGGCATAAAACCAAATATTCTGAAAGTTTCGGTAAATACTCAATCATTTTCCAGGCGGAAAATCACGCCATTGCACTAAGAATTGTATCTAGTTGAACGTTTATAAAAAAATTCGCAGACAAAAGATTATCATCTCGTCCGATAGTTAAGTAGTCATCTATGTACTGAGAGCTCTTATAATAGCGCTTTTTAAAATAGCGTTATTCAAAATAGGGCCCAAAAATTTGCCATAAAATAATTAAAACAAGTATTAGAAAATAAAAGTTTAAAAAAAAGACTTCAAGAAAGTGCAGATGCCATTACCACATCTTAACCAAATTTATATGGAACAAAAAAAGAGTCATATGAATTGGACAAGGACAACATGCATAAAAAATGAAGATTTTGACATGGACCCAATTATTAGATTTTGACCAAATTTATATGGGACCACCCCTGAAGTACCCCTTTCTAACAAAAAAAAGAATCATTAAAATCGGACACCGTGTTAAAGAATTATCGCTGAACATCACATACTTTGATTACTATACGAGGCAAGAGAGAGGTCCGACACGCCCAACATAGGGCGCGGCCATTTTGAACCCTGTGACACAGTTTACAGCTAAAGAATCAGATCGCTCACTCTGCGTCGGCACTTTTGATCTCAATGTTTCAGTTTATACACTGTGCAACTCGGATAATACAATATATGACAACCGCCTATAATAAAACAGCAGTCTTCTGCGTATCCTAAATTTGTATCCCTGGAGTGGATGTTGTTTTGAAACTTTCATCTGGTCCGAGTGAGCTAACTGATTTCTTAGCAATAAACTGTGACTTCAAAAATAATATTCACTGACACTGACAGCAGCAAGCAAAATATCAGGTGCGTTTTAATCATCCGCTTCTGCTTCCGGAATTGTCGGTTTAGTCATTTTAACCTGTCAGATTAAAACAAGAAAACCGACAATTCCGAAGCAGAAGCGGATGATTAAAACGCACCTATTAAAAATATTGCGCCAAGATGTAGGCAACACGTAATAAGGGTTCAAAATGGCGGAGTTTTCTATCTTCTTTTAAAAGGCACTCAGAAAGCTGCACAGTGCGACCATTCTCCGTATAGTAAAAGAAAATCAAAGTATGTGCTGAACATACATACGAATTGAGAACCGTCTCATTTTTTGAAGTCGGTTAAAAATAGGAAACGCAACGACCACAGCAACGATGGCGTCATCTATGCGTTTTAGATGTTAACTAAAGTTATACGCCGTTTGTAGACTGACGGTAGACGTAGACAACAGTGGGCAGTTTGTAAAAATAAATGTCAATTAATTGCATGTATATCGTAAAATCCTGAATTTTAATGAAAAATTTTGAGTTCATGAATGGTTTATATTCATTCTAAGGTGAATTAAGCCAAAATATTGTGATTGTTTTTGTGTGGAATTTGAGGATAATACTTAAATTTTGTAATAATACAATAATGAGACGGAGCCTCGGTCGTATTGCATGAGCATAGGCGCCGGAATTCAAAAATCGCTTTGGGTGCCCGGCTTCTATGCGGAAAATGAGGGCTATCCCCCCCGCCCTCCACAACTCACTTAAAGGCACCACCGGTTTTTTAAAAAGCTATTTTAAAGTTGATTTTATGAAAATTTTCTTCAAAAAAAAAGTATTGTCAAATGGCAATTGCAGGATAGGCTGGAGGCTCCCACCTAAAACGGGATATCTGGCAACCCTATATGCTCGGTGCAGCCACCACTGGTATTTTGAAGGTATTTTTAAATAGATTATAACCCCCAAATTTTAAATCGCCACTGTCTTCCTAGCTATTATCTTTTAACGATTTTTATTTTCTGTAAAAGCCTACCAGTTAATCGAGTAAATGCTAGAAATGCTGATTATGGGCCTCCATGCAATAATAGAGGTTTTGTTCAAAATGCTATCGGATATTTTGAAGCATCTATGGGATTATTTGATGACATTCATCAATTATCCGTCGTTGTCGCAGAAAATCGTCTTCATTAAGTTCTTTTACCAGATGTATTTTGTAGGAATAAAACTTTCAATATCTTCTGAATACTACGTCTCTTAATAACAGATGTTATCGCCAACTGTCTTGTACTCAATATGGGTTCATGAACAACATGTCCTAAAATCGCCACCTCTGTAGCTTCATTTACTACATAATTTTCCATTTCACGTTATTTGTTAGCTACTGACCCCGTTTTCCAAAATGTTAGGACTAACTCCAAAATGTAATTTCGATGTACTTGTCTATTTTGATGTTGATTGTTAAACAGTTAGGCAGTTCTATTAGCACATTTATTGTTCGCAAAAAGTGAAATTATTTGCACCCTCTTAGCAATAGAGTAAACCATTATCACTGATATGCCGACTCTACAACGAAATAAACTAAACCTTACTACTTTACGGCGACCAAAGAATGTCATCTGATAAGAATAATTGAGAGCCACAGAAATAAAAGTAAAATTGTTACAAAGAATTCCTTTTTTTAATAACAATGTAAAAATTATGTTAAACCGGTTTTGTACTTTTGGTGAGCCACTGTATGGGCTACATAGATAGTAGCGATGTAAAACTCGGGGGTTATTATCTAGGTAAAAAAAACCTTCAAAATAACATATCAGTCGACCAATCTTTCCATTTAAGATATAACTGGTGAGTCTCACCCCCGATAGAGGGTTTCCGCTTAGGAGGTGCAACTGCCAAAACAATGTTCCCCCGTAAAAAACAAAATTGACTGGTCCAAGCGTTTTTTAGTAGATGACCTGGTTTCTCGCCAGCAATACTAAAGAGCTGTTTCTAACTTTAAATGAACCTTTTTGTTCTAACGGTGCTTGATCAGGAGCAACTTTCAAATGTTCTCCCTTTTCCCCTTAAGCATTTGCTCAATGGCATATGTACAAAGTTCTTATTTTGATAATTGTAGACCGTTAATAATCTTTCTTTTCTGACGTCATAGGGTTTTATACACCAAAAATAATAAACCCTTAAGTTCAACGCGTTGTCTATAACAAGTTACGGCGACTTTTTTATCACAAAAAATATAGCTCCGAACGATAATATTTTATTGAGGCATCTGACGCTATACCAACTTGGGCCACGACAGCTTCTTCATTTCACTTATTGACACTTTTTGTCCACGTTGTGCTCTGGGTGCTCCGCACCCTGTTCAAAACTGCTCTGGTTGCTTGCGCACCCGGAGCACCGGGGATTCGGCGCCTATGTGCATGAGTAACAGATGCCTCATGAATACATTTTAACAACTCCAATGTGGCGTTCTTTAATTTACCATGTAAGTAACACAAACAGTAGCCTACTTTTGTCACGAAGTATTAATTTATTATTATTTATTGTTTTAGACCAAGAAAATTGCTTTAAAACGTTGGAGAGAAAATTTGTTATAGGAAGCTCTTGAAGAAAATATCTGAATTCCCATTATGGAGTTTGCAGTTAATATTTTTAAAAATGAGACACAAATGGCCACTCGTTTGGAAAATAAGACTAAAAATATTAACGTTAAAAATAAAACTCAAAAATTAAAAAAATATTTGTCATAATTATATTTACAATAATTAATCGATAATAAAGTGAAAGTGTAGTATTTCTTTTAATAAATACTTTATCGTAATTAACATTGTTTAAATTTATTTATCAGAACATGGAAATGCATAATTACAACCTTCATTATCATGTGTTTAAATTTCCCGCTGCGTCACTTGTATAATATCAATAAAAGCGCCACATAGTGGGTCAGATGTTAACTGCTTCTTGTGAGCATTTCCTATCTTTATGTCCCTTATCTCTGTCTATGTCATCGTTAATTTAAACAACTGTCATCGAGTCTATATAGTAGGGGACCTGGTGATAGTTTTGTGTACACATTTGCACAAGGCTGAATTATAAATGTACCTTGTAGAAGATGGAAATACTTTGCTGCTATAGAGCGTTCGATGATGACGTCTTTAAAAAGCCAATATAGAAAATAAAAATGGAAATAGTTTGCTGCCATCTTGGTAGAGGTGGAAAGCTTTTAAATTTGAAAAATAAAATTATTGCATTAATATATTTTATTTACGCAGGCTCATTTTTTCTGTGATAGAATAATATATATTATTGATGAAAATCGTTTGCTGCAAAAGATCTGGTGATGAAATGCCCTATTCGCAAGCAAGACGATACTGTGAATCGAATTTCAAGAACATGGCAGAAAAATTCTATTAACTTTTGATGCAAATAATAAAAAAAAGTTTTAAGCTTGTTTTTCTATAACAGTATTTTCTACACTGGCTTTTTTAAGGTCTTCATTGAGGGCGCTTGATTCTATTTTCTTTAAGGTAAGAATGTACGATATAAATGTAATTTAGCCTTACGTAAATAACATACCTTAAAGTGCCATTGGCTCCCCTACCAATACTATTAAACGCAAAGGTCCATTACATTCTGACAGTTTATTCACCTGATTACAACGAAAGAATCACAAACAACGTTAAAACGTCATTATAACAAATTGTCTTCATCATAATTTGTAACGTTAATGTCATTAAAGTATCTTAGTGATAAATCAAAATTTGAAATATAAATAATTTACCAATTATTAAAGACGAATTACAAGATTATTAATGGGTAATAAGTTTATCAAGTTACCTGCACTAATACCGATGGTAATGATTATTTTATGTTTTTTCGGAATATTTTTTAACACTATCACTTTTGACACTGACACTTTGGTTTAAATTACATAAACAAACCTTATACAGGGAGAGAGCGGGTTAATGGTTGGAACAAATAAAAAAAATCTTAAAATATCTAATAAGTTTTTTCTCTCAAGATTTTGGCTGTGATAATTATATCCATTTGCCACAGATAATTGAAGAGTAGAAACGCAAAAGGGGCTAAGTGCCAAAATGTTTATATTGAAAGAAACAAGTTTATTCTTGTAAATGCTGCTTGCAACAAAGTAAGCATTATCTTATAGAAGCACTGAAAGACGCGTAATATGATAACAGTTAAAATAAAATAAGATAATTAAAAACAAAAAAAAAAATTTTCTCTCAAAAATTTAGAAAGGGTCTAAGTGCCGGAAAATAAAATATTAGAGAAAGCCATATAACATTAATGTTATGTTCATTTAAGCTCGTTAAAATAAAAAACGTGTAATTTTGAAAAAATAAACTTATATTCTCTCAAAAATTACAAAAAATAGAGTATCAAACAAAGCCATATAATATTATCATTATGTTTATTTAGGCACTTATTTATTTTATTCAATGTTCAAAATCTTCCTGTAAAAGTCTTGATGCTCCTTCTTCTTTAGGAAGTTTATCATTAAGGTGAGGGATTTTTTCTTATTGTCTGTGATTTTATTTTCAGGTGGCTGCGGCTTTTTTACTGTGTTCTTCAAATCTGACGCCTTTTTACCCTTTTTCAAAATACAGGTCTCCTTCCACTGCTCGAAATCGCTAAAGCTCTCTTTCGTTAGCACGTTTTCAAGTTTCTTTGAATCTATTCTTCCATATTTACAACCGAAAACGCGGTACTATATTTCGCTGAACAGACAACATCATGCAGATCATTCGGTACAAAACTCTTCATTGTTCTCTTTCTTTTTTTTATGAGTGCAAAATCACGATCGCAGGCCATAAAGCTATGTCCACTTACGAGAAATTTCTGTTCAATGCTTTCGAATACGCCAGTAGAGACCAAAAAGATCATAACGAACAGGACCATTCTGTTTTTATTTTGACCAGCACAGTTGTCACACCAGATCGTAATATGCTTTTTGTCAGTGATTCCCATATTCCACACTCTCAACAAACAGGAAGCAATTTCGTTACCACCTCTTCCTCCTACAGATTCGTTCCACATGCACATGAATTCTGAGTTGCTGTCACTTAGATGAATGCCGAAATTATAACAAGATAACTGGCTGAGGTGGAACATGTCTGAATGGGTTAACGTAGGCACAAACAGAACTTGTTGCAGATCCATCGTTATGCAAGAAAGTATACTTCCTGGTTTTTGTGAGACAACAGTATCTTCTTTTAATGCAGCTAGAGATTTCTCAACTTTCCTATGGTGCAGTTCAAGCTGAGTTTTTGCTGTCTTACTACTTGAAATTTGAGCTTGCAATTTAATTTATCACAAGTTCTGCAAGTATCAACTCTAGGCCGGTGAAATGACAAGTTCGGGAAATCTTTCAAAAAACAAGCCGATAATATTTGTATGTGACACGTGAATCCGGAAATTTTTCAAGGAAAGCCCTATGCAATCTATGGATGTTCAGATCAGGGCTCAAGTACTCTTTTTCAGATTTTTGCCTGGAATAATGACTTACGTCCCTAGGTATAGACATTATGCGATCTCTTACTAGTTGGAAGTCATTTTCTGTGAACTTTGATTGACTGTTACCTTCTCTCTTGTCAACAAAAAATGTTTCACCCATCTTCTTCACCAAGATTTCTATCTTTTTAGAGGTAATGGCAAATATATTCAAAAATGTGCGCTTACAAACCAGCACTAAGTTTCCTAAACCATCAGGCACAGTATAAAATATGCTGCACCGACGCCGACTACTTTCTGCAGACTCATATGTCCCATGTCTTCTTCTTTTAATATTCCCTATGTTTATCAGACCCATGAGGTAAGTACCCTGTTTAGAAGAGTTGGTTTCATAGAACTGTTCATATAATTCTAATTTCCGTTCGTAAGTAAGGTTTTTACACTTGTACGAACATTTACAGGACACCTACAATATTAAAATATTTCACATTTATGTTTGCTAATAAAATAGCTTATGTCAACTTACCTCTCTTTTTGGGTTTAGCAGGAACTAGTTTGTTGGTATAAGTTCTATATTGCTTCCCTTGCCACTTGAGAATTTTATTTTCCTGACTATAAGAGCCAGAATCGCTAGCCCTACGTTTTCTCGAAGCATTTTCACTAATTCCGGACAGAGACAATTCCGGACGACATCATGTTAAACACAATCTGTCAGATTTCCAATATGGGCACATAGCCCCTTTCAAGCTCCAATACCGGTTGACATACCGCTAGCGACATCTATGTAATTTTATTTCACCTACTAAATAGAGCTCTGCACATACTTTGATTTTCTCTTACTATACGGAGAATGGTCACACTGCGCAGCTTTCTGAGTGCCTTTTAAAAGGAGATAGAAAACTCCGCCATTTTGATACCTTATTACGTGTTGCCTACATCTTGGCGCAATATTTTTAATAGGTGCGTTTTAATCATCCGCTTCTGCTTCGGAATTGTCGGTTTTCTTGTTTTAATCTGACAGGTTAAAACGACTAAACCGACAATTCCGGAAGCAGAAGCGGTATATTAAAACGCACTTGATATTTTACTTGCTGCTTCAGTGTCAGTGAATATTATTTTTGGAGTCACAGTTTATTATAAAGAATCAGTTAGCTCACTCGGACCAGTTAAAAGTTCAAAAATAACATCCACTCCAGGGATACAAATTCAGGATGCGCAGAAGACCATTGTTTTATTATAGGCGGTTGTCATATATTGTATTATCCGAGTTGCGCAGTGTATAAACTGGAACATCGAGATCAAAAGTGCCAACGCAGAGTGAGCGAACTGATTCTTTAGCAATAAACTGTGGTAAAGGCATCAAAATGGCCGCGCCCTATGTTGGGCGTGTCGGACCTCTCTCTTGCACCGTATAGTATTCAAAGTACATTGAAACATATGTCTCAGAGAGAAATTTTTGTGTGTTTACACTGGACTAAACAACTGTCAGACATAAATCTCATGCAATAAATGTCAGATGTAAACGGTATCTTAAGGCTTGATAACGGATCTGGAGACGAAAACGATTGCAAAGAAGATTATAAGCAGAGTTGTATTGTAGTGTAGGAAAACTTAAAGCCTTTTCAAGTTGGTTTTTCACAGAAAATATTTTTCTATTTGTTTAAGTTTTTGAGATTTAAACAATTTTCGACCAACATACATACTCAGCAACATGGAGGTAGACTCCATCCTCAGCACTCAGCATTTTTAATAACCTTAACCTCCTTGATACAAAAAAAAATTAATGAATTAAATCGGACAATTTTTAAAAACAGCAATGAAATTATGATGCCATGAATTCGATAGACAAGAGACGGAAGGAAACACTTATCTTGTCTTTAATCATTAATAATTACTTGTTTGAACAGAAATTTAATTTCAAGTTGACTTCAAAATATCGTTATCAATCTCCTCTAAATTATTAAATTATTTTCATTACGAGTTTTGTCTAATTCGTCAACCGTTCTGTTCGGTTCGGTTTTACAGCTACGACCATAACGTAGTCAAAATGTAATTCCGGGGAAATTAATGAGTTTTAATTTGAAACAATAATTCAGGAAGAATAAGTGTCAAATGGGATGAGAGACATTCTAATTACAGGGAAAATGCTCTCTACGTTCCTACATTAGGCCGGTTTTTAAGTATCTACATGTGAATGAAGTGCCTAAAATTAGTCAAAGTAGATGATTATTTTTTTCATTTTAACACCTTCTGAAATACCATTGTCTTTTTGTCTGCGTTGATTGAAATTGTTTTTTTTTAATGACAACTAAAATTTTAACAAAAAAAAAAGAAACAGATTTTCTTACTTTATATGTACCTTTACAATTTAATAATATTAAAATTTTTATTTGCCAGTAAAAAAATATGTAGTACAATAATAAAGTTTACATTACTACAACAACAATCGGCAAATATTAGGTGTGGTGCTAGATCATTAATAACGATTCTTCCACACCACCCTTCTAAGCTTAATTAAAAAAAAATATACGAGGATGACTTGAAAAGTTTCCGGCCTAACCTATAGTAGGCCCGATTTGCTTTCCTGTTCCAACGTGTCTATGCAGCCTTGCTTGTCGTCAGTATATGCTCAAAGTTTAAAGTGAGTGCGTCAAGTTGTTTGCGTCCTGGGTATTTTAAGAGCTTATAAAGTGCACCACTTTTAAAAGATGGGAAAAAACGAGATAAGAGCGGTGATAAAATATTTCCATATCAAAGGATTATCGCCTAGATGCTACAATTAGATGCTACACTAGGGGAATCTGCTCCTTCATTTACCACAGTTAAAACCTGGGTAGCGGACGTTAAACGTGGTCGTACTGACAGTGCTCCGCGTTCTGCAGGCCAAAAACGGCAACTTCTGAAGAAATGGTGCAAACCGTTCACAAACTAATTCTAAAAGATCGCAGATTAAAATTGGAAGAGGTAGCTGAGGCTGTGGGCATATCAAAAGAGCGAGTTAAATATATTTTGTGGAAAGAACAATAAAGTCCGAGTACTACAGCGACTTACTGGACCAGCTTAAGCAGAATATAAGCGAAAACCGCTCTGGTTTGGCAAAAAAGAAAATTCTGTTTCATCAGGACAATCCACTTTGCCACAAGTCCGTTCTTGTAATGGCTAACATTCATCAGCTAGGCTTTGAACTGTTAAACCATCCTCCGTATTCGCCAGACCTAGCCCCGTCAGACTTTTATTTGTTTCCAAACCTAAAAACGGATTTAGAAGTAATTGCAGCCACAAACGCCTATTTTGACGAGTTGGATAAATCAGACTACAGTGACGGTATTAAATCGCTTGAACATCGTTGGGTCAAATGTATTACCCTACACAGGGACTATATAGAAAAATAAATTCTTATTCAGTCACTATTGTGTTGCGTTCTATGTTAGGCCGGAAACTTTTCATCCTATCCTCGTATATGTCTACTTATATATGAATAAAACAAAATTTAAGATTCTC